CCTTTTGGCATGCACTACATAATTTGTCTTTGATGAACTTCATCTTTGGTAGACCAATAACTAAGTCATGCTTAACCAATTTGTTAAAGTACTCCATGTGAATGTGAGCAATCCTCTTATGCCATAACCAAGCGTCATTGTTGTTTACCATAAGACATTGTACCTTCATAGACAAATCATCTAGAGTAATCACAAAAATATTGTTAGATCTTATACCTTTGAGTTTTACCTCATTGGTTGCCTCATCCATAATAAGGCATTCTTCTTTGTTGAATTTGATCTTGAACCCTCTATCGCAAAGTTGACTTATGCTAAGAAGGTTGTGCTTTAATCCTTCAACATAGAGAACATCCTCAATTTGAATGGATGGAGGTGTGCCAACTATTCCAACGCCAAGAATCTTTCCTTTGGTGTTGTCTCCATAGGTGACATACCCTTTGGCTTTATGTACTAGATATGAAAATTGGTGTACATCTCCTGTCATATGCTTTGAACATCCACTGTCAAGATACCAAACATTTGAAGTGGATTTCAAGCATACCTACAAAAACAAATTATTTCTTGTTAGGTACCCAAGTTGCCTTGGGTCCTTCATAGTTAGTTCCCTTTTTCACCCATGCATAATGTCCACTAGCCATACTGAAATTTCTAATATAGCATGCATTTGGTGTGTGTCCAATAATACCACAGTAAAAACAGTTTGGAACAAATTTGCTCTTGTATCTAGGAATTTGTTTTCTTTTAGATACATTAGCCTTTTTCTTTTGATGATTATGAACAACTTGCTTCTTTTCTACTTTCTTGGGATTGGAACTATTACTAGCCTTTACAAAAACAGTGGGATTGTTACTTGGTTTCTTAGTATTCACATAACCAAGACCTCTTTTATCATTAGGATAACGTTGTTGGCTTAGTAATCCTTCCAATCCTATTTGTCCTTTTTCATATCGTTCAATGACTCTTTTCAATTGAACAATTTGAAAGACATTTGATTCACACTTGGAGCATGCAAAGTTTTCCTTTTCTTTTATAAAATTTTGTTTTTGAAGATCAAAATCTTTAGTCATGGTGTCAATTTTTTCTAGACAACTTAGAAGTTCTTTTTCTTGTTTTGACACCTTTTTGTATAAACTTTTGCATTCTTTCAAGAGTTCATCAATTGCACCTTGAACATCATCATCAAAAAGATTAAATTCATTACTAACCTCTTCTTCATTGTCGGAGTGATGCGATGCCATTAAGGCTAAGTTTGCACATTCGTCGCTTTCCGATTCCGATGAACTGCTCATATCATTATCTTCCCATGCTATGTAGGCTTTCTTTTGTTTTGAGTCCTTTCCTTTGAATCCATTTTTCTTTGGGAGATTTGGACAGTTTGGCTTGATATGTCCTTGCTTTCCACATTCATAACATGAGACATCTTGAGTTGATGTGGAGGCTTCTCTTTTCTTGAAGTGCTTTCTCTTATGTGCATGAGATCCGCCTTTGTCATTTCTGCCAAAAAACTTTCCAAGTCTTTTCACTAGAAGCATGAAATTTTCATCTTCTTCCGGATTGTCTTCTTTTACCACTTCTTTTGAATCAATTTTTAAGGCAATGTTTTTGGACTTCTTTTCTAGATTCTCATGTTTTTCAAGTCTACCGAGTTCCGTTTCGTATTCTTGAAGTTTGCCGAATAATGTAGCGGAAGTCATTGCGGAGAGACTCTTCTTTTCCGAGATTGTCGTTACCTTTGGTTGCCATTCCCTAGTCAATGATCTAAGGATTTTCAAGTTGAGTTCATCATTTGACAGGGTTTTACCAAGAGCAATTAAGTGATTTGTCAAATGCACAAATCTCTTTTGTAAGTCAAGAATGGATTCTCCGGGCTGCATTCGAAATAGTTCATATTCTTGACTCAAGGTATTTAGCCTTGATCTTTTTACTTCAGCCGTTCCTTCATGAGTTTGAACCAAGGTATCCCAAATTTCCTTTGCTGTTTTGCAGTTTGAGACACGAAAAAATTCGTCCATACTGAGAGCACCTTGAAGAAGGTTTATTGCCTTTTTGTCATAGAGAACTTTCTTTTTATCATCGTCGTCCCATACAGTTTTGGGCTTTGCAGACCCAACGCCATTGATTACCGTTATTGGGATAAATGGACCATTTTCAACAGCATCCCATACTTCCTCTCCTTGTGCTTCTAAATGCGCCTTCATGCGTATTTTCCAAAAGTCAAAATATTCACCACAAAATAGAGGAGGCTTGTTGTTACTACCACCATCTCTGAAAACTGGTTGATGATTTGCGGAAGCCATTCTGGATCTCTAGGAGCAGGTTACCTATAACCTGCTCTGATACCAATTGTAAGATTAAGGTTGCGCCTAAGAGGGGGGGTGAATTAGGTGATGGTCGATTTTTGACTTATTTTATACTTTCTGGTTTTGATATAGTGCTTTGAAAACTGTAAAGTGCAGAAAGTAAAGAGACACGGAGAATTATCCTGGTTCCTTCCACAACCCGGAAGTACGTCCAGTCCCCTTGCAAACACGCAAGAGATTTTACTATATTGTTAGAACTTTTACAAGACTCTTCCTAGTCTTATCCACTAAAGAACCTAACAAATAACCAAGAACACCCTCTTGGATTTCCAATAAGTCTAATGAGAACAATCCTCTCAAAAGATACCTCTTGTTTCCAACAATGGACAACAAGGAACAAAAAATAATCTAATACTTAATTCCAACAATCCTGGAAATAAGTTACACTTTGTATGTTTTTATGAAGTATGATTTCTTGAAAGATGTTGATCACTTAGAGTGACTTCTTTGAAGTTTCTTCTTTCTTCTCTTGTAAGCAATTCAAACTGTAACACAATGGTTAGATAATGCTCAAAGATTTCTGTTCTTTATATGTGTGAAAGTGCAGAAAATCTTTGTTCTTAAAAGTTAAGAAATATGAAGTTTGAATATTTTACAAAGTTCAGATTTTATTGCAAGAGAAGAGATTTTTATGATTTGAAATATTTTGTAATATATAGTAATCAAGATACCTTTCCAAAAGGACACTTTTCTGTTTGTAAAACTTGACAAGATGCAATGTTTGATCATGCAACCATTGGAGAAAAGGTATGAAGGATATCTTGAAACCATTTCAGATTTTTCAAAATTTTCAATGTGCAAATCGATTAACATAACATGCAAATCGATTGCACGTGTTTGTAACGTTCAGAATTTCAAAAAGTTTGAAGTGTAAATCGATTAGCATGTAGTGTCAATCGATTTACAAGTGTTAAAAAATCAGTTTGTTCTGTGATCAATCGATTTACACAACCTGTAAATCGATTGCTGGCAGGAGCAAACAGTTTTTTGAAAAAGCATGTGTAAATCGATTTACACAAGATGTTAATCTATTTACAGCAGAGAAAAACTTAAAAATTGTTTTGAAATATAATTGAAGTGATGTGGCAAGTGTGTATATCATTTTTGAGCATTTCTAATCAATGTAGTTTAATTGAGAATTGATATACTTGATTGCTTGCCAAGTTCCTTGAAGCTTTGAGTGAATGATGCTTTAAGATGATTTCCACTTCTTTTCCTTCTTTCCATAATGCTTGTTTGTCTTTCATCAAACTAGCTTGTTTGTCTTTCATCAAAACTAAAGTTGAGTTGAGGCTTGAGATTACATCTCTTACATCTATAACAATCACAATGATATTGTTGAAAATAGCTTGAATATAAATAACCCTTTTTGATTTTTTACGAGGATGCTTAAGCAAACTAATGCGTTCAATTTAATTTAAACCAATTTTTTTTAATAGATTTTGCCATTTTTATTTTAAAAAATGGAATACAAAGTTTCTTTATCAATAAAATGGAAAAAAAAAAACGTTTTTTATTCTCTTGTGGATCAAACAACACTTGAATTTAAATTGGGGAAAAAATATTTGTAATTTCCTGCCTTACCACTAAGTTATGCCACCAAAATAATACAAAAAAAAAATCGGAATACCCCTCCTCTAATAAAACCAACATACTTCTTTTCAGTTACAAAAGAAAAGTAAAAATTGAGACCATTAGCAAGTGTTAGCTACAAATTCCAGAAATATTCAGAAATTCGATCATAAAATCCACTTATATATGTTCAAGTCTCTACATTCCTATCCAATGTGAGACTATTTTCCTAATTATTCACACTTGTATTATTATTCTAACACTTGCTTCTTTTTTTGTTGGAGGGGAATTCACTAGAAATCATTGATATATAGTGTAGAACTGAACACCTTTGTGAGAGACAAACCACTTATCCACCTTAAACCTTAAGGTGATAGGTGAGTGGATTTTCTCACTTATATCTGCACAAGTCTCCACATTTCTATATAATGTGAAACTATTTTCCTACTTACTTACACTTGCATTATTATTCTAACATGAATCAATCCTACAATTCATTTTACCTAAGGGGTTCCTGTTTAAAGATAGAAAAACTTCTATATAGACTTAATCCAACACAAAAATTGTTTGTATTTAGTAAAATTCAAGAGAAGAACACTCTCAAAACCGTCTTCACCACTAAATCAACTGTCAGGGTTGGCATAGAGCTAGATTATGACTTTTTTCTGAGAGAATGATGAAAAATTTATATGAAATATTTTTCATTAATAATTCAATTACATCTTTGTAACCTTACAAATTCATTGCCTCTACATTCACCCCCCCCTTGCATGCCTAATACACATTCTATCTCAACCCCATTAATATTAGGATTTCCGAGAAGATAAATTAAAGAAAAAGCTTTTCAGTTTTCCAAAAATAAAACACTAGTAGTATGTTCGATGACTGGGTACATACATAGCTACAGTTTATAATTAAAAAAAATGTGAATGCTATTAATTCGGCTTCCAATTACTACTATTTTATTCGGAATTCCTTCCAACGTGTCTATATATAGGATTATCCATTTTGATTCTTTTAGATCTTTTAACCATTCTATAAAGCACTGTCAGCATCTGAGTTTCGAAAATGGAAGAGAAAATGATAATGCATTATAGTAGCTTTCATAATATTTTGCTTGTGGGAGAGGGAGATTTTTCCTTCTCACTCTCCTTGGCAAGGGCATTTGGCTCAGCTGTTAACATGGTTGCTACCTCTCTAGATAGTAGAGGTATATTTTGAAAATCAAATATTAACTTATAAACAAGTTTGTTACAGTTTTTTTTTTATTGATTGAAATACTAATGGTGCTTGCTTTTTTGAAAATTTCGAATACCAAAATATGAAGAGTCTCTAGTGCTGAAGTATGGAAGTGCATCAAGTAACTTGAATGAACTCGAAGCTCTTGGCTGCACCATCTTGCACAATGTGGATGTTCATAATATGAGTGAACACCATTATCTCAATAACAAAAGTTTTCATCGAATTATCTTTAACTTTCCTCACGCTGGTTTTGATTATCGTGAATCCAATGACTTCCAGATTCTGTAAGTTACGAACAAAATATTATCATGACACTTAATATTAAACACATTTATATAGCCACTACATTAGTATTTCATCTATCAATATTTTAATTAATAATATGCAGGTTACACAGAAGATTAGTGAGTGGATTTCTTAAAAGTGCTAAATGCATCTTGGCTCCAGTTGAAGGAGAAATTCATGTTTCACACAAGACATCACACCCATATAGTAAATGGGACATCGAGGGTCTGGCAGAAAATGAGGAATTGGTTTTTATTGAAGAGGTGGATTTTCAACAATCAGATTATCCAGGTTATAGTAACAAGAGAGGTTCCGGCTTGCAATGTGATCAGAGTTTTCCTATTGGAAAGAGTAGTACTTTCAAATTTATTACTTTTAAATCTTTTGGTTATATTGATTTCATGTTGCCTTTTTTCTAATCCTCCTTAATTAATGTATTATCTTGCTGGGCTAATTAGAACCACCAGACATTGTCATGTCATGTTTTATTTGAAGTCGAGTCTCCAGTTGTTTTAGATGTTTTCAAAATTCATTTAGTTTAGAAAATATTGACTACACATAAATTGTTTGAGATTCTTACGAATTTAATTATGTTTAAATAAAATATATAAATAATAAAATAATAGATTACTTTTTTTAAATAAGCAAATATTATATTTAAAGTGTACAAGGGTTACTTAAACCCAATGAAAATATTTAATTATCGCTTAGGATCACGCAACATAACATTAATGATTTAAATCCCACAAATTTCATACACAATGGCTTATGTATAGCTGCAAACTATTCCCAAGAGACTAACATGGTATGACCGGAAACATCTTTCACTCCATTAACACATCCCTTGAACAATATCTCATTCCTTCCAAGTCAAATATACCAAAATAAATAACAGCCAAATAAGACATCTCATACTCTTTTTGATTCTTCCATTTGGATGTTTACGAAATAGTGTTAGGTTCTATTTGATAAAACTAGTTGGTAGTTGATAGTTGTTATTGAAGAGAAATGAGAGTAGATTTTTAACTTGTTTTCTTTATAAAGTTGTCCAACTAACTTTTGATATGAGTACAAAGTGATTTATATAGAGATCACATGATAAAATATTAAATGTTACAACATTAACTATTTCTAGGTCCCAAAGGAATAAACTTCCCACTGCCCAAAGAGAATCTGTCTTTTGCGCTACCCAATACAGATTTGAATTTAGTCAACAAAACTCCCCCATAAATTCAAATATTTCTTCGATCTATCATATCAAATATTTTCTTGCCTCTGTCGAATAGCTCATTCGACAGTGGTTTTGTAAGAATGTCTGCTACATGATCCTTGCTTGTAACATGCTTCAGTTTGATGCTTCCATCCTTCACATGTTCTCGAATAAAATAGAATCGAACATCAATGTGTTTGCTTCTTTCATGGTTGACTAGATTCTTCGCCAGTTCGATTGTAGATTCCCTGTCGACTTGAATTATTATTGCATCTTCCTGTTTCGACTCCATCTTGCTCAGAAATCTTCTCAGCCATATTGCATGGCATACACACCAAGATGCTGCCACATACTCTGTTTCACAAGTCGAAAGAGTTACTATGGGTTCCTTCCTTGACAATCAGGTGAATGCAGTGCTTCCCATGAAGAACACATATCCTGAAGTGTTATTTCGATCATCTATGTCACAACACCAATCGCTGTCAGAGTAGCCAGTCAACTTGTATTCTTCTGCTTTTGAATAAAACATTCCGAGTGACACAGTTCCTTGGACATATCGAAGGATTCTCTTTAGAGCTTTCCAGTGTGCAAAAATTGGTTCTTCCATGAAACGACTCACAATTCCAACATTCAGCGAAAGATCTGACCTTGTGCATGTGAGGTATCGAAGACTTTCCACCAAGCTTTGAAATTTGTTTTCTTCGACACGCTCCCCCCATCAAATTTGGAAAGCTTTGCTCCTGTTTCCATTGGTGTCGAAATTAGATTGCAGCTTTCCATTTTAAATCTCTTCAGGATGTTTTTTGCATATATTTCTTGTGAGATGAAAATTCCTGTTTCTTCTTGTCGAACCTCCAGACCAAAAAAATATTTCATCAGGCCTAAGTCAGTCATCTCAAATTCTTATGTCATTGTGCCTTTGAATTCTTCTATCATATGATTGTTGTTGCCCAAGAAAATTAAGTCATTAACATAGAGGGCAACAATCAATATTCTCTCTTTTTCCTTCTTCATATACAGGACATGTTCGTAGGGACATTGCTGAAATCCATTTTCTTTGAAGTATGTGTCAATTTGTGTATTTCATGCTCTTGGTGCCTGCTTCAGCCCATAAAGTGTCTTCTTTAGCTTTAGCACCTTTCCTTCATTTTCGACTTTCATGTATCCAGGTGGTTGTTCAACATAAACTTCTTCTTCAAGCATGCCATTCAAAAAAGCTAACTTGACATCCATCTGATATATTTGCCATTTGTATTGAGCAGCTTGAGATATGAGCAGTCGAATTGTCTCCATTCTCGCAACAGGTGCAAACACTTCATCATAATCTATTCCTGCTTTCTGCTTATATCCTTTCGCCATAAGTCGCGCCTTGAATCTTTCGATTTCACCTTGTGCATTTATCTTTTCTTGAACACCCACTTCACACCAATTGTTTGACTTCCTTTTACTAACTCTGCTAGTTCCCAAGTATCATTGCGTTCGATGGCCTTAATTTTTTCATTCATAGAATCCTTTCAATTTTTGTTATTGCTTTGTTGAAACTGACATCTTCAGTGTTTGCCAACAAACATATGAAATGCACTTCTTCTGTGTTTTCATACAAGTCTTGTAAACTTCGCATCCTGGGCTGTGAGATTCCATCTTCATCATCAGAGTCTTCTGGTTCTGTCGAAGTGTTTTTTGATATAACACCTGGTAATTCGACCATAACTTCAGTCGAATTCATCCAGTCCCACTTGCTTCCTTCGTTTATTCAAACGTCTCTACTAACTATCACCTTTTTGTTTATTGGATTGATAAGTATGCAACCTTTCATTTTCTCATCATACCCAAGGAGTATGTATTTCTGACTCGTATCTTCCATCTTTGTTCTTCTTTGATCAGGTACATGTGCATAAGCCACACTTCCAAACACTTTGAAGTGAGACACGGTTGGATTTCGTCCGCTCTAAGCTTCTTGAGGTTTTAAATCTCCCAACTTCGAATGTGGACATCTATTTTGAACATAGATTGCACATTGTACAGCTTCTACCCAAAATTCCTTCGACATGTTTTTGCTCTTAAGAATTGATCGAACCATGTCGAGGACTGTTCAATTCTTTATTTCCACCACACCATTTTGTTGAGGTGAGTATGCTGCAGTCAGAAATCTCCTTATGCCTTGCACTTCACAGTACTTCATAAAGGCTGTCGAAGTATACTCCCCACCTCTGTCTGATTGAAGAGCTTTGATGTGCTTGTCTATTACTTTCTCCACCATTATCTTAAACTTCTTGAATACTTCGAAGTCTTCTGACTTTTCTTTCAGAAAATACACCCAAGTTTTCTTTGAGAAATCATCAATAAAGGATATAAAGTACCTTTTCCACTGAAGGATTATGGGGTAATTGGTCCATATATATCAGTGTGAATCAATTCCATAATTTGTTTAGCCCAATATTTTGCCTTCCTTTGAAATGAGGTTCTCGTCTGTTTGCCAAACACACATTCTTCATAAAACTTTCCTTTGAATTCTACGTCTGGAAGTCCATGCACTATATTTTTCTTTGCTAACCTCCTTAGTCCAGCCTGATGTAGATGACCAAAACGTAGATGCCACAGGGATTCTTGGTCTTCGAAATTGACTTGCAAACACTTTTCTCGAATGCTTCTCAAATTCAACTTGTACATTCGATTTCTCCCTATTTCGACTTGAGCAACTAGACGTCCTGACTTTTCTTTTAAGTGCAAGCTTCGATCTTCCATTAGTATCGAATAGCCCTTTTATGTGAGTTATCCCAGACTCAAAATATTTGCTTTGAGGTTTGGTACATAGTACACATCTTGGATTGATCCTATCAAATCATCCTTCTACAAAAAACTGATTGTTCCTTTTCCTTTGACCCTTACTTTCGACGCATCTCCAAAGGAAACATGACCATCCTCAATTTTCTTTATTTCTTTGAACACGTGCTTATGACCACACATATGGTTACTTGCTCCTGAGTCCAGGTACCACATAGTGTCATTTTCTACATATTATTCCTTTTGAGTCATTAACAGAAATCCTTCATTCGGTTCTGTTTGTAGAGCAAGATTTTTTGTTTCTTCTATCTTTCTTCTGAGTCAATAATATTTTGCAAGATGTCCCATTTTACCACAGCTGTAGCAAATGTAGGAGTTGTAATCTTTCGCATAGTGGCCCTATTTTTTACATTTGTAACATTTGATATTGTTGGAATTCGACCTACCACCTCTCTGGCGACGTCCTCTGCCACGCCAGTTTTTTTGGCTTGACTGTCCTCTATCAAAGTTGTTATTTTTGTAACTTCAACCACTATTACGTCATCCACGGTCATGTCCTCTCCCACACTAATTTCGAGAGAAAAGTTCCTTTTCGTCTCTGTTGGGTTCTGCATCCTCAAGTCTTTCCTCCTTCTTCTTTAATTTGCACTGTTCATGTGCCTCAAGTGAACCAGCAACTTCTTCGACAGTAATTTTAAAAAGGTCTTTCGCCTCTTCTATTACACATACTATATTTTCAAACTTATCTGTCAAAGATCTCATAATCTTTTCGACAATACGAGCATCAATCATTTCTTCTCCGTTTTGATTGAGTTGATTTGCCACTGTCTGCACACGAGTGATGTAGTCTGACACAGACTCTATCTCCTTCATCTTCATTCTCTCGATTTCTCCTCTAAGAGTCTGCAAGCGAACTTGCTTGACTATATATGCTCCTTTGATAGCCTTTTCTAGCGTTTCCCACACTTCCTTCGACGTAGTCGAACCAATAATCTTTTTGAAAACTGATTCATCGACTGCTCTGAACAGCATGTATAATGTTGTTTTATCCTTTGCTCGCGTTTCTTTCAACACCTTATTTTGAGCAGTTGTGGTTGTCGTCGTATCTGATGGTTCTTTAAAACTATCGTTAGTTACTTCCCATACATCTAACGATATCAGAAGCACCTTCATCTGGATACTCTAGTTCTCATAATTCAACTTTGATAGTCGTGGCAGTGGCATTTGACCCATCATATTTGCCATGCGCTCTGATACCAATTTGAAGAGAAATGAGAGTGGACTTTAAACTTGATTTATTTATAAAATTGTCCAACTAACTTTTGATATGAGTACAAAGTGATTTATATAGAGATCATAAGATAGAATATTAAATGTTACAGCATTAACTATTTCTAGGTCCCAAAGGAATAAACTTCCCACTAC